GGAAGCATGCGTATATGAAGCGGGACCGTATATACGCCAAGCTTTTTTTACCCACGGTGGGCGGACGGTGCCCCCCACGGTGGGCGGACGGTGCCCCCCACGGTGGCGGACACTGCCCGCGGTGGGTGAACGCTGTGGTAAAATTCCCCGCGGCAGACCCGGGTGGTACCGACCGGGGCCCGCCTTGCCTCATTTGCCGAGTTGTGTGCGGGGTCGTCGAGGCACGCTGCGCGTGTGGGTGCGTCTTAACCTCTTGTAATAATAACCGGCGTCGCATTATTTTTGTCGTCCGGCATTCCCAGCCGCGTAAATAAACGCAGCGAGCCGGTTAATCACCGTTTGATTACGGAGTAAACCAGGAGCGATTTAAAAATACAGAGTTAAAATATGATACCCACATGGCATTATTTTCGCACGGCGATGTTAATTTACGGAGCGCTAACTCGATCGTAATTGTTTCTCGCTAAAACCTCTCCGCGACCGGCGTCCGTAAATATAAAAAAAAAAATCAGGGGGACTGCCGATCGCAGTCCTTGGGAGAATGATTCTGTTTTAAACGCAGCTCCTAATTTGATTTATGTAATTGTCCAAAAGAGTTTTAATACACGGAGCAATTAAGGGAATAAAATAGCGTAATTTCCTTCGGCTTAAATAGTGAGCGATCGGCACGGGGGTCAGCGAGAGGAGCGCTCTCACGGAATAACTGCGCCCCGCCACCTCCCAGGCGCACGCCCGCAAATTAATCCACTCATCCACCCACACAGGCACGCGCACACATAATGATCCAGTCATGACCCCCGGCGCAAGATGTATTTATTTATATATATACCACCCCCCCCCCCCCCCTCCTCCGTCGTCACCGTCTTCCTTCCGCGAAGCCGTAACAATCGCAACCGATCGCTCGGAGATCTTTTTACGTTACTATTCTCTATTGTTTCTTCAAGGAGATGACGGAAAGTAGCCGCCACCAGGGTATATTTTTTTACGAGGTGGTGGTGGAGATGATGATGATGGGAATAAGCTGTGGAATTTTTTTAACCATTTCGCTAGCGGCTGAGCTTTCGGCATCGTTTTTTTTAGCCGGTGCTTTGCCTGCTGATGGTTCCAGACAATCGAAGAGCGGGTCGCGCGGGGTTAAAATACATTGCGTAATTTCATCCCCGGGGAGGGGGTGGGGGGATGGCTCTGGAGCATGTCACGTTGCAAATTGTGTTCAATACGGACGGGATAAATATAAATATACAATAATAATATCAGCGTGCCATCGCATCGGCACACTTCTTCCCTGGGGGGGTTTCACGGGCTCACGTCTTTGCCCGCACGAGCTGCAGTTGCACGTCCCGTCACGAGCTGAAGTTATAAAGGACCGTCGCCAAAAGCATTCCCGCCCCCTGTTGCACGTGGCGATTTGCCCGTTGAGTGGGTTAACGTGGAACACACTGAGTCCTTACGTCGGCATGCAGCGTGCACGCTCTCGACCCCGCGTAGTTTAAAGGGGCCGAGGAAAGGAGGAAAGAGACGTGGAGTGGGCCGGGGTGACGAAACGAAATGACAAAATCCCCGGCACGCAGTAGCAGCAGCAGCAACAACATCGTGAAGGTGCCGGTTGTGCACCGCGAGGGGCACATTGAAACGAGATGTCACTTCACAGCTGGTGCGGCCTGGCATTGTTGCTTTATTTGTTTTTATTTGTAAGAAATAATTTTAATATTCGAAATAAAATAACAAACATATGCACTGACATTGAGAAGTTGTGAGCGCTGCCTCATTCTCTCTCACCCTCTCTCGCTCTCCCCATCTCTCTCTTCCTCTCCCGCTCTCTCTTGTCCCTCTCCCCCTCTCTCTGTCGCTCTCCCGCCCTCTCTCTCGCTCTCTCTCTTTCGCTCTCCTGCTCTTTCTCTCTCGCTCTCGCGCCCTCTCTCTCGCTCTCCCCCACTCTCTCTCGCGTGCACGCCTCTGTCTGTCTTTCTTTGTCTCTCTCGCTTTGTGCAAAGACTTGCGATCCCGAGGCCATGTAATGAAAATTATTAGTTTCACACAGACACTCGTTTCATTTGATGTTGAGCAGATGCTTCTCTCCGCGTGTCTCCCCATGCTCTTTCTTTCATGGGGGCCTTTGTTTGGTGGTAGGGCACGGGGTCCGCTCTGCACACCACCCCGGTGGAAGATCAACAAGGGGGGGACATGAAACGCTGTGGAAAACAATGCCCTCCAACGCATGAAATTTTAAAGTGCTTTTTTTGATGACCCAATATATTCCTTTTTTTTATTACTATTGTGAGCATCGTCGTCATTGCAACCTGATGCACCGCCGCTGCCTCTCCCCCACTTTTACGAGCCACGTGGGGGGAGCCAGGGATTCAGGGCGATGTGCCGTGAAGTAAAATAAGAAAAATATACTTTTGTGTGTTCATTTCAGAGCGAAGCCCCCGAAGCGACGCTTTTGTTCACGCGGGCGTGCGGGCGTTGGCACGCGGTGCCGACGTGACGCCGTCAGGAAGCAGTGTGGGTTTTTTCCGCCCGTCCTTGCCCCTTTGAGCTCTCGGTTTCACTTTGTCGCGCTTTGTTCATGCCATTCGTCGTCTTTCACGGCGATCGGTTGCAGCTCGCCTACATCTTGAAACCAGGCTTTTCTTTCGGCTTTTCTTTCTCGCTTCATTTTATCATCATATTCTACCTGCAAATCTGTGCGACTGATTGGGGAGAAAGGAAAAAAAACAAATTAACTCGGATGGGAGTCCAGGGCCAATAAGATCCAAGCGAGTAAAAGTCGAAGCAATGAACTCGCTCTCCGTGGGCATCATTTTTTTCTTGGTATTTTTAAATCGCTCCTGGTATACTCCGTCATCAAACGGTGATTAACCGGCCCGCTGCGTTTATTTATGCGGAGGGCAGCACAGGGGGCGACCGTCTGTGGTCGAGGCGGACGAATGCACAATGAGCGGTGACGACGCAGCGCGCCGTTGGGCTGCAAAAGTCACGCGAGTGGCGTCAGCGCCTGATGATCCGTGCGTCACCTCGATGCGCGGATCATCTTCAGCGACGCCACTGCCGCGTCGGGTGTTTCCGCCGCTGCTCTCCCGCCGTGGTTTCGGTTCGTTCCGAAGTGCCGTTCGGCGCGATGATCCGACGTTTGGCTGCCACGTGCCTCCGGTTAATACGGTCGGCTACGTGCGGTGCGAAATAAGTTTTGACGTACGTACTTGCGTACACGCGCTGGCAGCTGACGAGTCGAGCTTCCCAACCCGTGGAGCTAGACGAAGGGCGCGTGCGTGGCGCGACCGGAAAGCACATTGGAGAGTCGTCAAGCAACATGGCGCGGAGGAAAGTAAAAAATCGCATGACTTGCAATACCTTTACAAAGAGCGAGGCTTGGGCAGGACACATCCCATGGCGAGAAGGGGGAATGGACGATGGTCAGGGATAATAGCGGAGTGGCAGCATAGCTATGGAACGCATAGCGAGATAATATCGGCGTGAATGCCGCAGGCAGATTGATCGCTGCATCACAGGATTCTTAGACGTGGTGTGAGTAGGGAGGCCTTCATCCAGCAGTGGACCGACGGTGGCTAATGATGATGTATTGCCGCAACCTCAACTGGCCGTAGGGGCCACGTGAACCCATTTAGCGACAGCGCGTGCCAACGTTCTTACGCTTGCTGCTCGATGCGTGTATTACGAGCTCAAGATTCGATATTGATCGTTGAATCTACGCATCGACCCACCCACTATTATCCAGCAAACCGCATTCTGACCTGAACCGCTACATTTTGCTCACACCTGAAAACTCGCGTGCCAAATCCACACAACGTAAGTAAAAAAAAACCATAGCGGCCACGTCATTAATTGGATAATTCTCTCCGATGATTCCCGTAAATAGTAAAATAATACCGTTCGGCTGAAACGAATGTTTACCATTCGCCCGGGTCGCGGTCCAATTCCTTGTACGTGCACGTTACAAAGCGGAGCTCTAAATTAATTGAACATCGCCGCTCGGCGTTCCCACCGGGCGCTTTCTGCAGCTTGGTTTTTTGTTGTGTTTTACGCACCAGCGACGAGGAGGGAGAAACAGTCGCCGACAAAAAGTCCGGCGGTGCTCAGGACGCTGCGTGCGACCCACATGCCGACCGCCGCCGTCTTCCAGCGCCCAGCGTGCCGAGCGTCGTCGCTCGAGTCGCAGAAGAAAATTCGGAACGCAAAAAAATAAAACGACTCGGTGTCAGTCGGCGCACGACGGATTCATTCGAGACGTAAAGCGAACTGCAGATCGATTGATTCAAATAAAGAATTACTCTTGTAGTTATCGTGGCCCCGGCTGCTCTATGTATCATTGCCCACGCTGCACCAGACCAATGAGTCCCCCATGCCATGTCCTACGTCAACTTGTATTGGTAATAGCAAGGCCATTATTGTTTCCATCCTTCATATTAAAACAATCGCAAATGAATTATCGTACTTTTTTAATGAAAAATGTGACGGAGTTTATTTTCTCTTTGGACCACCATTCATCACCATGGCGTCCAGTGCAGCCGGGTCCCAGCCAACGGGCCCAGTTCCGACGTCACTTAAACTAGTAAGCTATTTTTTATTTTATCAGATTAGGCCCACTGACCTATCTCGCTTTATTTTAGAACCGACCTGGCCACAAATGATAGCTCAACAAAGTGACTTATCAAAGTGGACATTTATAGCAGCCAAATACTCTCAACACGTGACGTTCATTCTAAATGCGGAGGGAAAAACCAGAGGACCCAGCGAAAAATCCACGCGACCACGGGGAGAGAGACACGCAAACTCCACATATGCAGGCTGATTGTAGCTGTGGCCGGGAATCGAACTTGGTGGCTGCGTCGGGGCCAGCTGATGTTGCACCAGCTGATGCTGCACCAGCTGATGCTGCACCAGCTGATGTTGCACCAGCTGATGTTGCACCAGCTGATGCTGCACCAGCTGATGCCGCATCCTCTCTCCCCCTGCCCCCCATCCCGCCCCACCCACAGGCGAGTTTCCGACGCTGCGGCCGGGCAGCCGGCACGAGTACACGAGCTGCACCACGTTCACGACGAGCTCGGGCGACATGGAGGGCTACTACACCTTCCACCAGCTCGGCAACCCCGAGGCCGTGTTCACCGCCACCGTGCCACGCTTCCACATGGTGTGCCCGCCGCTGCGCCTGGCGCAGGACGGACAGGTAGGATGATGACAAGTTTTGCGACGTGCCGATTGGGGTGTGGAGAGTGATCGCCTCCCGCTCCTGCACCCCTTTGCCGTGAACCCCCCCCCCCAAAGTGGTTATTGTATTGATACTTCATGGGACCTCCCTTGCCAGTAATAAAATATGAGACTAGGTTTTCGGCCTTTTGGCGTTATCTGGTCTAACACCGGTTGAGACTAGGCTCAAAAGAAAGCTTGTCTCTGGTGTGGACCAATCAGTTTCAAAGACAATGCATATATTATCAGAGTATGTTTTTTGTTTGCATTCTGACAACAAGTATTGTGGTTAATGCAGACATGATTCCTCGTAAAAGGTTTCAGTTTGGTGTTTTAACATCTTAACACAGCTGTTTTGTTGCCAGAAAAAAAGGGGAAAACCGCTTCTTGTATTGAAACTTACTGGAGGATAATGACACCCTGTGTCACACAGGGTCAGCTGCGCCCTTCGAAAGTTTGAGATGAGATGTCGGGCAAATGTGTTGCGGTGAATTGTCGAGGCTTTTAATCGCTTTGTTCATGCAACGTTGACTGCTTTTGTTCTTGTTGTTATATCGTTATCATCATCATCATCAGGTGTGATAAATGAAATTGCTATTCTGACACGTCTCAACCGACAACATTATCCCTTCCCCGCAATCAGATTGGAGAATCAACGGCATGAATTAAAGTGAGAAAATTCTAACCGTTTCAAATATGTGATAAGATTGACTGCGGGAAATAATCGTCAGCCATGGTCCATCCACTGCTGGATGAAGGACACCCTCAGTCCACCGTGATCTCTCACGATCACGCAATGGGACAGTCCACCCGGCGCCCACCACACACGAGGAACCGATTGATTCCATGGCTCCATCTCCGCGGGGGACGCTCTCACGGATGTCCGCATTCCGTCTCCTTGGCCGCTCAGAAGAGCCCAATTTAGAAATTTGCAGAGTTAAGCGACATGGTCGCCCGATGAGTCGAAATGTCGTTTGGAGGGATGCGACTGGAATGTGTGTGCCTAGAACTGATATCGAACGTCGGCCGAATCGCTGAAAAGGGAAAACGGACTGAATTAGACCGAAATCGAGGCAGATGAGAGCGTGTGGGAGTGCACTTGGGCTCAATAATTAAAATTCTGAACTCGATAATGAAAAGCAACAGACCAGTGTGCCTAAAGAGCAAAGTTTTGTGTATGACAAACAATGCAATGTGGATTTATATAACTAGCATCTGCATGCAACGGGCATCTCAAGGTGCCAGACAGAAACAGTGGGGCCGCGCCTATTACGTAGAGGGGCAGTCGGCCACAGGCAGAGGAGGAGATCAGCGAGGCCTTGAGCCCGAACTTGAACAGGGGCAGGGAGCCGACAGCACGGATAGCTGGGGGAAGGGAGTTCCAAACTGTTGGGGACAACAGAGGAGAAGGAGAGACCTCCCACAGAGAGAAGGTTTATTCGTGGGCAGCTTCAACAGACAGCCTTCATTGCTGGAGCGGAGAACGAGCATGGGGACAGTAGAGCAAGATGAGAGGGGAGAGGCAGGAGAGTGCATGGAGGGGAGTAGAGTGAGATGAGAGGGGAGATTTAGGAGAGTGCGTGGAGGGGAGTGGAGTGAGATGAGAGGGGAGATTTAGGAGAGTGCGTGGAGGGGAGTGGAGTGAGATGAGAGGGGAGATTTAGGAGAGTGCGTGGAGGGGAGTGGAGTGAGATGAGAGGGGAGATTTAGGAGAGTGCGTGGAGGGGAGTGGAGTGAGATGAGAGGGGAGATTTAGGAGAGTGCGTGGAGGGGAGTGGAGTGAGATGAGAGGGGAGAGGCAGGAGAGTGCGTGGAGGGGAGTAGAGTGAGATGAAAGGGGAGATTTAGGAGAGTGCGTGGAGGGGAGTGGAGTGAGATGAGAGGGGAGATTTAGGAGAGTGCGTGGAGGGGAGTGGAGTGAGATGAGAGGGGAGAGGTAGGAGAGTGCGTGGAGGGGAGTAGAGTGAGATGAGAGGGGAGAGGCGGGGGAGTGCGTGGAGGGGAGTAGAGTGAGAGGGGAGAGGTAGACAGAGGCGGGTCCATGGAGGGTCGTGCCGATGCTGAGTGTGATCTTGAATTTGATATTTCTGGCACCAATGTCTTATGATGTCGTAGCCATGCCATTCTCTGTTAGGTCTTCCTTCATTTCCGGTTCCTTCCGTTTTTCTGAACAACAACATCCTTCTACATATTTTTCCAAATAGTGCCAGTTTCCTTCTCATCACTGCCTGCAACATCATCACCATCATCATCACCATCATCATCACCATCATCATCACCATCATCATCACCATCATCACCATCATCACCATCATCATCACCATCAACACCATCATCACCATCATCACCATCATCATCACCATCAGGCCGTCGTCGTCATCTGTGTGCAACCTGTTTCCTACTACTACGTTGGTCACCCTTTGCGCTTAGATGCAGCAGTGTCCTTCTGTAGTATGGTTAACATACCTGCAGTATTAACCGGGGTTGGCCTGCCGGATTCGAACTGCTGAACCCCTACAGCAAACGGCTCGCGTCATTAATGCGATCGTCATCCACGCCCCGGTGACGATTATAATCTGCTTATCGAGCGACGTGAGCACCTGGCAAGTTTGGTCGTTGCGTGCAAGAGCGATGGAAAACTTTTTGCCCCGGGAAGGATCGTGCCGTCGCTTGCCGCGTGCGAGATTAAGTGTACCGATAAAGAAATTTTAAGTGGGCATTCATAATGTTTCAGAGTAGAGCCAGAAAGCGCTTTAATGCATAAACAAGGGCGTTGGGAGGCATTACCGCGTTAAATGCATCCGTCATTAGCAAGCCGTGGCTAAATAAAAACCGCCGGAGAATTAACGAGGCGTTTGACGTATCAACGTGGAAATATCAAAGAAGTGTCGGAGAGGAAATAGCTTCAGCTTTGCTTTTTTGTTGTTGCGTTTTTTGCGCGGAGGAATTCAAACGCGGCGGTTCGTTAGGGAAGAACGGTCGCTCGTCGCTCGCCGTGCGGCCTCTCTGCGTGAAGGGAGTCGCGAAGGCGCTGAGGGGCAGAATTTATTTCAAGACAACTGTTGAGATTTGTTACGTTTGTATTATTCTGAGTGTTTACCCCGAAGCGTGCCAGCTGTTTGGCATTCGGGGACGGCATTGCCGCTGCGTGCAATCCCAATCTAGTAATGTGCAGGTAAATTTTGCGGCATTGGGATGTTGTTGGTATGTATGTTGAAAACCTTTGGCACAGTACGTAGCCATCCCGTGCAAATCGGAGGTATGGGGAAGGACAACACACCCAAACGTTAAAAAGCAGTTCTGAAGAAATTAGTTTTCAATCTAGATGATTTAAAAGTGCACAGCTCCAGTGGCTTCTTAATATCGGAAGGAAGAGCGTTCCAGACGGCCGCAGAAGCGCATCTAAATATGAGTTACATTGTGCGTCTGGTTTTTTTGTTTTAGCGATGGGAGGAGGAAACCAGAGAACCTGGAGGAAACTCCATGCAGAACAGTGCGGAGGGTAAACATTTAACCTGCCACACAGAACGGCTAGAGTCGCGAATCGAACCCAGACTGCTAGGCTGCGAGACACGAGCCTAACCACCACGCTTGCCTCCCTTCCGGCGTCCCCAGAACGCCAGCGTCATCTCCACATGGAGGCGAAACGGGAGGGCTGGGAGCGGTGGGATTGGCGATGATTTGAAGACGAACGTTTGATGGGGAAGCTGCTCTGAGAGTGGCTCTCGCTTCACTCGCGACAATGGCAGTTCGCGACGGTTGGCACCGCAGCAGCTTGGCGTTATTTTAAATCGGCAATCTTTAAGCACGATGCTTTCCAGGTGTATACTCAGCAACGTAGCAGACTGGTCTAGAATCTGCCCTAGGGAGGGGGGATGGGCGGGCAGGAGGGGGAGGGTGAGGGAGGGGGACAGCCCTGAAATTTTAAGCTGTTTAAATAGAGCTCTGCATTAATAAAATTAAAAAAATAACACTCCGTGTGTTTTCACTGCCAAATATCAATAAAATTAAAAAAAATTGGGTCTCAAGGGGGTAGGGGGGGGGGGGCGTTGGGGTAGGGGGTGGGGTGGAATCGCCCCCTCCCCCATCCCACCCCCCTTGGATCTACCAGTGCTCTCCAATAGAGAAACACTCACCTCCGGGCAGTGCCTAATTGCTGTCGCTGCAGTGGCACTGCGCAGTGGCTTGGTTCTGAGGCCTTCATCCAGCAGTGGACAGACCACGGTGGGGATCGGGAGGGACACGCGCGCACACAACTACGACGATGTCATTGTGCCCGCAGCTGAAGGAGTAACTGTCGGAGGAGGAGGAGGAGGAGCAAGAGGAATCGATGACCCCATCGCTGACCCCGACATCATCGTTGCGAGGGCAATGCCATCACCGCAGCCATCGAGCAAGGGACGTGGGGGGGGGTGGGGGGCGGGTGCGGACGACGCTCGGGCCGCGGTGTTTTGCCGCACGCCGATGTCAAGCGACGCAGCGGCAGCTGCCGATCGTGGGCGCGCGGGCGCCCCGCGTTTCACCGTGAGCCGCCCCGCGTTTCACCGTGAGCCGCCCCGCGTTTCACCGTGAGCCGCCCCGCGTTTCACCGTGAGCCGCCCGCCAACGGCGATAACAGAAGATAGCCTTGCGGTTTATTTTCGGGAGTTTTTTTTTTCTTTCTCTACTTTTCCCTGTTGGTGCTGCTGCCTTGCCGCGGCTGCGTAGGTCTTCGCGGCACAAGGTTCAGGGTTCGTGCTTTGGGGAAAGGCCGTTTGTCTCGCCGGCGCGATTGTAAGGGCGCAGCGGCGATCGCTGCTTGCGTCATCTTTTTTGTTGTTGTAACTTTGTCATGTTGATAGCTAGTTTTTCGTTGTTTTTGTTTGCAGGGGTTGGGTTAGTTCGGACCAGATATAGTGCTCTTGTCAGTACCAGCGCAGCCCACGTAAATTGAACGCTTCTAATTTCTTTCCGTGGCCCATTGACAGTGACTGATGGCAATAGCAACTGAAATGAGTGTCCTCTCAATTAATTCGTTCCGATTAGCCGTGTAAATAAATTGGTACGAAGAAGGTCTTTTCTGACTTAGTTGGTACCGAATTCTGCTCTGGCTCATGGGCTGTGTCGCTGGACAACGTGTGGCTGTTTGACGACAATAAATGTGGAACGTGCTCCAAATTAGCCACTTACGAATTTGCAATCCGAGGCCAACCTTCCTTTGCGTCATTTGATCGAGAAATGATTGCGTGTTCAAAGTGGCTGCGACTGGAAGAACGGTGAAGCATTAATTCTCATTGCGAGTAAAATAAAAAAGGCAATTAGATTAACAGGTTTAGCGTAACTACTTGCCGCTAACGGTGAAGATTTACACTTTGATATTGTATTGTAACGGTGGTGGAAAATACTAATACGCTTTCCAACCTCTACGATGTGTCTTGACGACGCGTGGAGTAATATCGCCGTGGTTATTTTAATTAACGGAACGAGAATGTTCAAAGGTTTCAAAGCCACAGAATAAAATTGCACATCAGCTGTTTGTCGGTGAGTGCGTGCGTCGTGTTTTCTGTGGGCAAGTAAACATTCGGTCTACACACGATGTCTTAAAAACACTGAACATTCTCCTCGAAAACATGTTTTCACGACAACACTGTGTGGTTTGGAGTAATAGAGCGGGTTAAAGTCCTGGTTAGGGGTTGACTTGTCTCTTCATCATCATCATCCCTCTGGGGTTGATAACACGAGTACCCCTTTTTCTCGGGAAGTCAACAGTGGTTGTCCTCTCGATAGACTTGCCCCTGCCATGGGAATGTGGAATTTCCACCAGTGGCTCAGGGCTGTGAACAGAAGATGAGCACCAATGCCTCGGTTCTCATTTGAGCAGGAAATCAGTTTGACATTTTTATTGGAATAATGTGATGTACCCCAATTTAGTTTTCATTTATTTTTATTTTACCTACGTGACTTTACCGAAAAAACCAAAGAGTATGAATCTTTGCAGTCACGAAAGCTTCAAATCTAGAATTAATGTAGCGTCCTTTACAGCCTCATTGCTGGATGAAGACATCTACATGCCTTTAGGTCACGAGGGTTGTTTGACCATACCTCACCATGTTGGTCAGTGCGAGGTGGTGCTCAAGACCTGGCTCTTATCAGTTTCCAAGACCTCATCTACCGAAGGTCCTCCGTTTCAACTCGTGCCTTGTTTGCCGTGACCGATGGGAATCCGTCTTCGCTGGTCAAGGAATGGCCCCATAATCAGCACCACGGACAGCACCAGGGATTCGGGACCACGGACAGCGCCAGGCGTTGGGGCCGTGTCCCCCACGAGCTCTCGAGGCTACACTGCTCGTGACTGGCAGCACTGAATCGGCGCGTGGCCGGCACACTTCCCACTGGCCGTAAAAACGAGGCATCGGGGGCTATTAACTACAGCACCGAAATCCCTCTCTCTCCCTGAACCAAGTAATCAAAACACACAACGCCCCGGACGCGTGCAATGAACGCCGCCCCTTCCTCTGACCACCGTGCAGGTGAATTGCAAAGTCCCTGCGGCCGAATGAATGTGCTTATCTGCGTAATTACGCGAAAATAATGACTGTGCCCACAAGTTGGTGCCTGCGTCCCTGGGAGGGAAGGATAAACACGTAAATGAACGAATGGGTAAAGGGAGAGGGAGAAAAAAAACCCGCAGCCGTGGATACTGAAACGTCAACATTTTCGCGCATTAACGCGTACCCCCCTGGGGTGAGAGATGGAGCGCTTGGGCGTTTCTCGGAAAGCGTTGTCGCTTGTGCGTTTTAATTGGGAGGGCCAACGGAATTTATTTGATTTTTTTTTGTGTGCGTGTGCGCTAATTTAATTTCATACACCGCCGGCGCTGCTTCTTCTTCTTCGGCGACGACGACGACGACGTTCCACGCCCACGCTCTCGCTGTGCTGCGCGAACCCCGGCCCTCCCGCTGCCGGCCGCCGTCGCTCCACCGCAATGCGGCGTGCGCTCGGGGGTGAGGGGGGGGGGTCACGCTTTCGCTACCGGAACGGGGAGATTGTTGTTCCCCCCCCCCCCCCACCCCCGTTGCCCTCGACGGGATTAACAAACTAACGGTGAACGCGGGTGGCGACTCGAGCCGCCTGCGTTCGGTTGCGCCCGCTCGGCAGGTGCTGGGGTTATTGCTGAGCGCACCGGGCGGCGGCCTTAATTTCGGCGGGGGACTGTGGGGCGTTAATTCCGTCTCCGCCACAGCGACAGTTTCCACGGCGTGCGTGCGGGGCGGTACAGCGCCAGCTTTTCCCGCCGTCAGCAAAACGTTTCATCCGCCGGGGACCCCCTGCAGCTTCAGGGGGGTGCCGGACGCAGCACGGAGCAGCGAGGAGCCTACTTAACCACAGGCGGCTCCGTCGCGATTTATCTCCCATTAAGTGGCTCAAGCCGGGATGGCGGGGGAGGGGGGGTCGGAGGGCGGTGCACGTTTTGGAAAATGAGGGCCCTTTCAAAGCTTCCGTCTGGGGGGCTCCCAGGCCATGCCAAATGCTGCCCTCAGGCTTCCTGGCAGAAGCCCTCGGGCTCCCTTTGCTTCAGGGGCTCTCTCCGTCGCCTCTTTTTCCGCTGAACAACCGACGAACGGCGGCCGTGGCCGTACCGAGCCAGTCCCGGCGCGCCTCGGTAACCGCCGGTGCCGGTTTCATTTGTTTACCCTCCACCCACGGGAGAAGCCGAGCCGTGCCGTTGATGACACACGCAGCGAGCGAGTCGCGTCGCGTCGAGATGGCTGATGTTGCTCGCAACGAGCGCGTCATTAGCGATGCTTCCTGGCTGTGTTTGTCCAGGGGCCGGATTCGGACGTCTTCTTGTGACGGTCTGGCTGTCGGCTCGGCACTACAAATAGCACCCAGTGGTAAAACCACCCGTACCGTGTGAGGGCCCCCCCCCCGTACTGGCTGGGCTCGGATGTGCCGGTGGAAAAAAACTATTTCCTGGGGATCTGAGCGCTGTGCACAGGGCAGTCCATGGGTTTGGGGGAGGAGTAGAGGTGCAGGGCGACTCGCTTCCTGTGGGCCCCCTGACGCCTTCAAACCAAACGGGGATTCTTACATCTGACACCTTGACGTCGAAATGCCCCCCCCCCCCCCTGCCAAAGCGTGGGGCCCTGGGCGGTCGCTCTGATTCCCCGTACCCTGGGGGCCGGCCCTGGCTGTACAGGGAGGTGCTACCGGAGCTGGCACACAAAGTGCGTGCGGCACGGGGAGCTTGCCATGTGCCTGTTTGGCAGGCGGGCGGGGGTGTGAATGCAGAAGGTTCCGATTGCTGCTCGAGTCAGTTGCTCGGTTGTGCAGGTGGGGGGCGGGGTGGTTGCACGCGGGGTGGTAATGACGGTCACTGTCGGTGGTTCCTGTCGTTTTTGCACGGACCTCGTGTCCATGTTACCAGCCCCAGCGATGGCTGTACGAGAAACACGTGGCGATCTCAGCATAACGTGTGTGTGGATTTTGCTTCCGCATATGTATTTATTCCCGAGGCTTCGAAGCGCTCCGATAATTATTATAAATCACAAGTGGTGGCGCAGTGGTTAGCGCTCTGCGCGACAAACCCGGCGACTTCGACTAATAAATGGAAAATATTTGAACCGGTCCTAGGCCTCCCCTTTGTCGACTCAGCCTCAAATGAGTACCTGGTGCGGTGTGGAAACATCGCCGCTGGGGAGACAAAGGCGGTCGGGCGTCGTGCTGACCACCCTCCCCCTCATGTACTGTCCTGGCATTCATAGGTGCGCGCTAACAGCACTGGCCCCAAAAGACTTAGGGCTGTACGAGGGATCTTTGTGTATACAAAGTGGGGAGACTTAATGTAGTGGTTAGCGCAATGTGCTGTGAACCCGGCGACCAAAGTTCCATTCCCGCTCACGGCCAATATCTGCGACGAGTATCTGAACCGGTCCTGGGCTACCCTGGATAGACTCGGCCTTAAATACCTTTTGCCATGTATAAACACCAGTATTGGGAAGACAGAGGCGGCCGGGCGTGGTGCTAACTATACACACCCCCTTGTGAGCCGTGCCAGCCGTAATAGGTGCTCGCTTGCAGGCCTTTCCCCAACAGTCTGCGTGGACTACACAGGGCATCTTTGTGTATGTGGTGGTAACTCGTGGTTTTGCCTGCTCTTGAGTGTCACAGATCCACGGGAGCCAAATTACTCAGTTGAGTGATGATGGGGGTCATATATTTGTTTTTTTTGCTGTGGACACATTTCCATAGATGTGCCTGATCTCATCAGCTCTCGGAAGCTAGGCAGGGTTGAGTCTGATTTGTATGTAGATAGGAAACTGCATGGGAATGCCAGTTGTTACGGGCAGGAGACAGCAGTGCACACACATTGAATCTATCGGTGTGCGGCGCTGGGCGTTATCCCCTCGTGTGTAATGATGGGTTTTATGATGGTACACCAGGTTGCCTACTAGCTGGAAGCCAAACTCTCAATAAACGTACTGCCCACGCATCTTAATGCATAAATAAATAACTCCCTTCCCGTGGGCGTCGAGGACGTTCCGTGCCCTGGCTGTCCAGACGGCAGTTCAGCAAGTGGACTAACCCCCATCCGTTTCTATCTGCGCGGGGATCGAGCGTTGCCCCCTTGCATGCGTGGGATTTCTCCGCGTGCTCCGGTTGGCTCAAACAGTGTGTCATGAACGAAACTCATCACTGATTGTCTGACAAGATCTTACAAATACGAAGAGCAAAACAATGCAGGGCCCTCCTGAAAAAGAAGCGTACTACTGTGCGTGGCTCTCTTGCATAACTAATTAAATAAAACACAAAGACAGAACCCGCACCTCCGATTAGCGCTGTTGGCTATGTACGGTGCGAAATAAATTCAACACGCAGACATGTGCCGTGTCAATGAATGGTGTTCTTGTTGTTGTTGTGAAGTGTTCACGCGGAAGAGCCATCGCTGTTTCCAATTTTCGAGTGACCCTTGCGTGCGACCAATCGAAACCTCTTCGTGAATTATCTGGCGATGCTGTTGTTTATTGACAGCGGTGCACAAGGACAAATAATAACAATCTCAGCACATCCGTCAATAACGCTGCCCCTTGGCCATCATTGTTGGGTGGCCTACAGCGAGCAGTTTGGGTGTTCGGCTTTCATGATGAGCCGCTGTCTCGTAACAAGCACGAGACTCGGCCTTATTTGTGCCAAAAACTCATCTTTCTGTGCCCTTCTAGAACATCATTAGGGTGCACATCAGTGAGTCACTCGCGTCCGGCAAGGTAAGATGAGATGAACTACACCGGCGGAGATGCATTCCATCGCTCGCGGGGGATACGCTATAAAAGACAGCTTTCGTGTTCTCGGAGAGAGAGAGAGATGATCGGGAAACCGGGAGGTCTGCTTGAGAGACCGAGCCCCCAGCACCATCGTAGAGGGAAAACAGAGGGCGGACAGGGAGTTGCGGATCATTATTGCTCTGCCTTTGTAACGCGAAGTCTGATCCGGCGCTTTGCGCCCCGCCTCCCCCCCCCAGCCCCCGTGTGTCCACCGC